ATGGAAAATTTCACAGACATCTATAATAATGGAGTTTGTCATAAAGAAAGGGCTGAGAGAGTTTGTTTTGGAGAATATCTTGTTCTTGTATAGATTGAGCTTTTGAGGTTCTGGTTTTGTTTGTATAGGATTTTTATGTATTTCAGACTACTTCAAGGGAGAGTGACATTTTATTCCAACTACACCTACCACATTCTGAAACTGTGTATCTAACTGTGACACAAGTTATTTCGTTGGAGATTGGTATTTAAAATATCAGAGTAGGCAAAATCCTTAGAATATCTTTAATATTAATAAAGTATTATAGGTAGCCTAGAATCTTGAAAATCGATTAAATTAGAAAAACATAAAACTGAGCAATAGATTGATTTTATAATTGCAACACTGGTGGAAGTGGGAGGGAAAGAAAAGGAAAATATGCAAGGAAGCAGATTTAAGATATTTTTAACTGGGAATACCTGGATTTGAATCTGTGCTCAACAACATACAGTACCAGCATTTTCCCTCTGGGTAATTTACTTAATTTTCTTGAGTCTTGGTTTCCTCATCTTCAAGAGATAGAAGTTATGACAAGGATTAAAATGATATCATGATGCATCTAACAGATTGCATGGCATATAGTAGGCACTCAATATGATTTAATGTTATTATTGTTTATTATTCTTGAGACCAAACTCCTAAAGTAGCTCATTAGAGTGACTTATAGTGTGCACTGTATGAGAATATGTGTGTGTATACATGTATGTATGTGTTGAATTCAATTAGACAATTCAATACATATTTACAGAGTCCCTACTATGTGCCAATTATGTTTGCGGTACTATGAAAAATGCAATAGTCAATACAATTCTGTTTCAAGAATTTCATATGTAATGGACATATAATAGTGAGACTGGGTAAGACAAATGTAGAGAAACAAGTTTCATCGGAAATATAGGAGAAGGTGAAAATAATTGACCCTGAGTGGGACATGGAAAAGCTAGATAGTGAAGGATAGGGGAGGATGACAAGAATCTGGAGTAAAGGGGCTAGAGCTTTTAAAAAGGAGGATGACTTTTGGGAGTATGTAAGGTAGTGTTGTGGGAGAGTGGGGAAAGTCACATGCATAGCATCACTGGATGACTATTATGCTGTGTCATACTAGGTGCTAGATTTATGAAGTGAATAAGATTTGATCCTGTCCTCAAGGGTCAAAAATTTTCACCAAAATATTATGAGAGTGAGTCTGAATGCCTCAGTCTGTCTCATGCACTTCATTCATTTTGCCAACTTTAGCTCTTAAAATTGTGAATAATTCATTGACATTCTGATTGCTGTTCATTTCTTTATATATATATATATACTTTGGGTTAATATGGTGAATGATATGGTTTGGTTCTGTGTCCCCACCCAAATCTCACCTTGAATTATAATCCCCATACTCCTCACATGTCAAGGGCAGGACCAGGTGGAGATCATTGAATCATGGGGGTGGTTTTACCCATGCTGGTCTCATGATAATGAGTGAGGGTCATGAGAGCTGATGGTTTTATAAGTATCTGGCATTTCCCCTGCGTGTACTCATTCTCTCTCCTACTGCATTGTGAAGAGGCGCCTTCCACCATGATTGTAAGTTTCCTGAGGCCTCCCCAGTTTTGTGGAACTGTGAGTCAATTAAACCTCTTTTTAAAATAAACTAAAAAGATACTTAATTTATTTTAAAGTCTTGGATATTTCTTCATTGCAGTATGAGAATGGACTAATACCAGTGAGCGAATGAATGAAAAATATATTTGCTTAGTATATTCCCATTTTAATGTAAATATCCAGAAGATATGTTTCAACCTACTGTCAGGCCACATTATCTCAAACACTAAATTAGAAAACTGAGTTTGTCATGTTTAATTGTTTGTTGATGAAAAGGATTTCCTTTTTGCAAAGCTCTTCTCACTTCTTTAATATTTTCTGAATCTTTTTTTTTTTTTTTTTTTTTTTTTTTTTTTTTTT